ATGCCTGACCAGAAACTCAAACTGGCAATTTCACAAAAATAATTTTCATGGCTGACTACAGAAAATGCCATGTACGTCCAAACTCTTGCAGGTGGTGCAAGTAGGCCATTAATTGACTTTAAATTACTATTATGTTTTGGGCTTTAAAATCTCAAGTTATTGAAAGGAGTCAAAAATTCACCATACTGATACTTGATTTTACCACAGAAATTTGGAAAAAATAACAGGCATTTACAATTGTCTTTAATTTTAATTTATTCTGAGCTGCGGACCTTAATCACAGTCCCATTGAATATATTAACTATTTTATATTCCTCTCTCTGAAAGAACAATTTTCTATTTACAATTTCCAACACGAATCAGTTCACTATAAAATCCGATGCTTTATGTAATACTAACTACAAACCATTGTATAAACCAAAAAAACTTTTTAAAAAGCTCACAGAATCTTAAGCGAATTTACAAAATAGTGTTCAAAATACTAATTTGGGACAAACAGCTGAACTAGCAAAAATTTGAAACGCTAAATGTTAATTCATTACTAAGATTACTACTCTGTTCTTTTCAAGTATATTTTGTATATTTATACTTCTATACGAGAAAAAGAAACAGATTAAGGCTGAAAGACGGCTTTCGCGTGAAAAGGAAACATTGAAATGGCAAATGTATCCGATGAACTTGCGTAGGTTGTTTGTATCCCATTCCATTTGGCGATAAGTGTCCTTTACATCAACAAGATACAATAAAATGTTACCTCATTTTCCTGTCCATGAAAGTATTAAAGGCCTTCGTCGATAACATATCTAATAGCAGGCCATTAGTCACTTTGGGTTAGAAAATTTTAAGTTTCTTGTCAAGGGACAGCCAAACACATGTCTTTCAATCGGACTTGTCTTTTTGGGATTTCCTGAATGGATTCAACGCAACTCCTCCGACAGCTGAGACCGCCGTGTAAGTAGTTGATAAGGCTGTCCCTGCTACCCAACCAACTCCTCCAACAACTGTCGCTGCCTTGCTGTACACACCACCTGATATTTTCGACAAAAAGCCCGGTTGTTGTTCCGCTGGTACTTGTGGCGTTTCTTCTTTAACGGTATCCCCTTTCACGTCCATTTCCTTCAGATTTTCGTCTCTCTAAACACAGAAAAGACAACACGACTTGATAAGAGCAACTTAACCACAGCGCCGCACATTATAAGAGCCACTACTAAACGAATTAATGGCTGATAAAGATGCCATAAAAACCATTTAGACGATAAACAACGAACCTCTTTCATGGCGTGGTTTTTATCGCCACTGTCTGATGACGAGTTCGTGCGCCGAACCTGCAAAACAAGAAACGTGGATTTACACAAATTTAAAATTATTCAAGAAGGGCCTGACGTAGTAATGTCCAAAAGTAAACACAAAGGAGTTCACCGTACCACGCTTTGCTGTTGGGTGCTATCGTCGGACACCATTGGAAATAAATTTTTAACAAACGAGTTTCTTCACAACTAGGCAACAATATTCCGGAAATGAGTTATAACAAGGTAGCCATTGTTTGCCAGACAATCCGGCCAATCGTGGCTCTTTTAAACTTCGAACGAGAAATCCCGGTCTTTCACTTTCTGCTAAATGTATCATGAATTTTTTAACCGCAAAAAAATAAAAAATAACCGCATTATTTGTTATTTTAATAGCAAATAAAAAATATCCGAAAGAAGACCGCGGAATTGTGAGGGAGAGCATTATAAAAAATTATGATCACACCGCTATGTAATAATAGGCTTCTTTTTTTTCTATTTTTCTTTCTCTAGGCAATTTTTTTAATCTCAGAATCTTTACGCAGCTCCTCGTGAAAATGTTTTGCTTGTACCGGAAGTTGATTGAACTCTCTCACCGGAAATAAAAGTTACATGTAATGATATGTAATTCTGAACATCGCAGTGGGACTGGAAAAGAGTCATTGTATCAAAGATGGTGGAATTATTTGTTACTTTTTGGGCGGACTTTTTGTCAAATTCTGGCTTATTTATGGGACGAATCTAGCTCTTCAAAGTTTCAAAGTTGATCCTGCTATGTCTTCTGTTGACTCACAAAGAGAAAGTGAGAAAAAAATTATCAAGTTTCCAATTTTTCCGACCGTCGGAGAAGCGACTGTTACGGACGAAGTTCCCTTACTTTGCGGATTTTCTTTGAATGACCCTGCAAAAGTCAGTCGGACGGGGTCTACTAGCTCCGAAAGCTCTAGGACAGAGAAACTGAGGAATGCACTAAAGTTTAAGAATCCCGGGCCAATGTTAGAGGAGTTTAATCCTGACACAAGTCGCCGTGAAATGCGGAAGTTGAAAAGACTCGCGCAGAAGGACCCTGCCAATCGAAATAAAAGGAGACAAAGACAGAGAAGAAGACCGCAAAAACAAATATTTCACGACCGTTCGGGAGTTCGAATGTCCGATGGAAGAGATGTGTGTGACTGTCAAGACACTAACTGTCCCGGTTGCCATTTTCCTTGTCCATCTTGTGGATCGGAAAAGTGCGGTGTTGAATGCCGTTGTGATCGACAATGGACTTATTTGAAAGATGTGGAAATTGAGAATCCCCTACCGAGTGTATCTCGGAGATTGGGAAATCGATAAAATCCAAGACTAAGCCCAAGACAGGCTAAAAGCTTGGCTTTTAATATTGAAACCGAAACTGTTAAACTTAAATAAGTTCATGTAATAAGTATTAAAACCAGCAAAGGAAACAGGTGCAGATTCAGAAATGTCGAGGAAACAAAACATACGAATGTTTACACGCTACAAGTGAGAAAGATCATCCTCTTTTATTTTTAAATCATTCCGGTAAATGTGGCATAAATAGAGTGTATTTATAGAATTTCGTCTCCAGTTTAGAATGAAAAAAATACATTTAATTTGTAGGGTATAGCAATAATAGTTGTCTGTTCATGAAAATATGTTAGAAAATATCTTATAGCTGAACTCCACTATGCCAAACTCTCATGGGATATGAAAAAGTATGAGATGGCAGCGGTTTAAGAAAGCCAATATAAGTTCATCGCCAAAAAAAATTAAGTATCCAAGGGAAAATAATATAATTATTTAAGTTTAAAATAGCAGGAAGTTCACAATGAACCAAGTTTTATCAAACAAGATTCAACTGTATATTTTCAGGTCTTAAGAAGAGTTGTGAAATTATGTTATCTTGATACTTAACAATAATTTTGAATATAAGTTTGGTTAAACCAGTAAAATGTGGTTTATTGTTGTGTCAAGAACATAATATGCACATAATTATTATATTTTCCAAGGGTCTTTCTTGTTAATTTTATTACCACCAACAAGAGAAGAGAAACCCCTGAAATGAAGCTGTTTAGTTAGTTGGCACCTAGTGGCACCCTAGTGGTTTAATTGGAACCTAGACAGCTGAGTAGTTTTAGAAAATTGCAGAACATTATGCGTCTAACAATGCTTTATCAGGGGGGGACCAGGCATAGATGGAGAGCCTTTTCTTTTGCCGCACCAAAATTATGGAACTTGATACCACATTATTAAGAAAGGGAATACTCAGTCTGTTGAAAGTTTCAAAAATAAACTGAAGAACAACTTTTTAAGAAGTTTTTGCTTTATTTCATAGATAGCCAAAAGACTGTCACTAAAGATTGAAAAAAATGTTAGAAAGTGCAGCTTAGCATTGATAGGTGCAGTTTATGCCTGGTCCATATCTGGCCCTGTCTCGCTCACCTCTTGGAAGAGGGTCCCTCAAGGGCACAGTATTGCTTGACAGAGAGAGGGCCAGAACTGAATTATTTTCCCCTACTTGTCTAAGAAATTTACCAATAAAACCATGTAATGGATATTTAAGCACTAAAGCACTTTTTCATGTTATATAGCCTCATCAAAACATGAGGGGAGTTCAGAGAATTTGAGACAGTTATACTATGTAATAACTTTCGAGGATTCTCCCAACCCCCAA